AGGCAGCGACAAGAGCGTCAAGACTTGAGACAGAAACAGACGGATCGGTAACGAAGGAGGCCAGGACCCAAGGGAGAAGAGGACTAGCAGCACGAAGGTATTCAGACAAAGGAGGCGGAGCGACAACAAGCGACGACGGAGGAGGCGACGGGAGGAGGGGAGGACGAGACGCATGGGAACGCAGCAACATAGGCTGAGAGTGCTGGACAGGAGAGACAGGGCGAGCACGAGAGGGACAGTGAGACCAAAAGTGGGACGGGGGCGTGGGGTCAGGAGAAACAGGAGGAGACACAGGAGGGAAATGAGCTAGAGACAAGTATGGCGGAGGAAACACAGGGCCGTAGGCAGGCAGGGGAGGCGGCGGCAAGGAAGGCACAGGTGGGTGGTCAGGGGAGGGAAGACTGAGGAGGAGAAGGGCAGAAACCGGCTGTGACTGCTATTGCTGCTGCTGCTCCACGCCGACACCTGAACCTCCAGCTGCACCACGGCAATCTCCAGGACCCTCCACGCCAACACCTCCAGAGCGAGAACCTTCTCCGACGCTAGTGCCACCCCTAAGACCTCCGGGACGAGCCACGATAGTAATCCCAGGAATAATCCCTCACAACCAGCACCCCTAGAACGAGAACCCTCTCTAGCACCGGTGCCATCCCCAGGACCACTGTGACAAGCTAAGACAGGAACCCCAGGACGAGCACCCCCAGAGCTCACGGACCCCTGTGGCGGCTGTTGTTGCAATGGCGGCGACTACGGCTACTGCTGCGGCGGCGACAGCGGCGGCGGTGGCGGCTGCTGCGATGGCGGAGGAGGAGACACCGGGGCAGAGACAGGCGGTGAGAACGGCACCGCAGGGCCACCAGATTCAGCCGACTCCTCGACCGGGACAACCGACGAGAGGGGAGTGACATGAGACACACAGGACACGGTAGGACGGGGAGGGAGAGGAGCAGGGGCTACCGGGGGAGTGGGAACCAGAAACAGGGGCGGGGAAACCGGGAGACCTCGGTGGGGAAAGCGGGTGTAAAATTAGACAGACTCGTCAAAAGTGACGTCACGCGAGTGAAAGAAGCAATGAGACGGCGACTGGTAAAAGTGCTTGTCAGACGAGTCGAGGGGGAAACCAAGGAAGACACTGGAGATGGTGTGGGCAGTGAGCTTGTCCATGCCAACGGCATGAACGTGAGCAAGGCAGCCTCAGACGTGGAATGCAGACGCCTCACCAGAGAACCCGGTCTAGAAAACGGTCGGCGAAACCTGCGGCCACTGGGAGTGTGGCCACAGGTTAAGCTAGTGAGCGGTGTAGTGAACAGTGAACGGCCACAGAAAATGGGGTGCACCAGCATGGATCATGGAGGTACGAGCCACCTCCACGACCAAACCGATGCGTTGCTCAGCAACCCCATTCTGCTGTGGGGAGGCCGGTAGGGTATATGACTGGGTGATGCCCTCCGCATGACAAAACTGACCAAGCCGACCGGAGGCGAACTCGCCGCCACGGTCGGAGTGGAGACGAAGCACGGGGAGACCGCGGTGGACTCGCGCAGCTACGACCCACGAAATAAGGGCATCGGGCGCGTCAGCCTTCCGCTCCAGAAAAAACACTCTGGTTTAGCATGTGATTTTGTCGACGAGCACTGAAAAGTAGCGCTCGCGACGCGGCCCAGGGACATGGGCAGGACACCAAACGTTCGAGTGCAGGGTCTGGAGTGGCACAATGGTAGGGGGGAGCGAGGAGGAGTGAGGAGCACGGCGTAGCTAGCCCTCGACGAAGGGTGTGCACAAAGGTGCAGGCAAGGGAGGGAGGGTAGGGAGAGACGCAGGGAGACCACGGACAAGCCCGTGATGGGACATGTGACGCAGACGCGAGAGAGCAGGGTGACCTAGGCGGTGGTGCCACAGAAGTGAAGGGTGGGTGAGCGACTGATACGAGCAGGCTGCAGCTACCTGAGAGGTCGTGGCGACCTGGTGGGAAGCTCCAATCTGGGTGGACGCAGTGTTCAGCGTGAATACGCCAGACACGGGGTCCCGGGGGAACGTGGTAAGTGGGACACCAGTGGCGGCCTCGGTACAGTTGGCATACCGTTGTCCAGGGAACGTACTGGTGATGCCAAGGTCCTGAAGACAGCCGACACCAACTAGGTTCCTAGAGAACGGGGGGATGTGCAAGCCTGTAAGAGAGCCCGAGGGAACCGTCGGATAAGGAGAGATAGTGGAGCTACGTGCAACTACTGGACCTTATGAGGGGTCAGCGAGAGCGATAGCGGTAGGGTCAGCAAGCGACGTGAGTGAAGTGTGGTTGCGGAAGAAGCAGGCAGATGCTCCAGAGTAGAGTGTGAAAGAGAGCGAAGCAGTAGCGTCCGCAGTAGCGGCAGCTGGCAGGGGGACTAGCGTAGAGCCTAAGCTAAACAAGGCAGGAGGTCCTACGCCTGACGCAGCAAGGGAACCTGGACTACACACAGGAGGCACACCTATACTGGACAATACAGGGTTATAAGATCTGGACACACTAGATTCATCAGCATACGTGACATACATAGCCGTCCTCATCTGATCCATGTCAAGCTCAAAGACAGGCACACGGCGGCGGGCCAGGGCGTACTAGTCAGGAGGGTCCGAGGTGGGACCAAAGCGGAGACAGTAGAAGTCGTCGAGGCGGCGGTAGCAGCGGGTGGCGGTGTGACCTGGACGGTCGCAGATGGTGCCGCGGCGAGGGTCAGTCTGAAGCTGGTACTGGCAGATGGCCACACCGGAGCCGCCACCCAACAGCGAGCTGCGTGGGGCACCACCACGACCACGACAACTCATGCCACCAGGCCACCACAACGGCGGGGGTCCCCACGACGGCTGCTGCTGCTGCTGAGGCTACGGGTGCTGCTGCTGAGGCTGCGGCTGCTGCTGCTAAGGCTGCAGCTGCTGCTGCTGAGGCTGCTACGGCTGCTGCTGCTTTGGGGCACCAGCCCTGGTCCCCTCGTCCGCACCACCGTCCCCGCCCCCACCTCCACCACCCCCACCACCCTTCCCTCCGCCACACCCCCCCTTGGGGCGGCGGCCCCTACCTTGACATTGCTGCGCTGAGGCCGCCGCAGCGGTCTCAGCAGCAGGGGCGGTCTCAGCAGCAGGGGCTGTCTCAGTGACAGCGGCAAACATATCTGCGTAAGTGCACTGGGAGGGAGAACAACCCTGGAAGATAGGGACCGGCGCAGTACCGCTGGACTGGGCGATAGTGCGCTGGCGGGTCTCTATCGCGGACAGGGCGATGGTAAAGACAGTGAGGGTGAGGTTACGTGGGTGCTGACTAAGGAAGTGGTCGTGGGCAGTAGCTAGGCGGTCAGGCAGGTGCATGGCAATGAGGTAAAAGGTAGCACAGAGTGCCGGCGGGAAGGCAGTGAGCTGTGTCTCAGTGCTAGCGACGCAGTAGCTAGTCTCCAGTGCGCGGGGGTGAGTGGTATGGTCAGCGATATTTGGAAACGACGCAAGGTCAGGGAACAGTATGGGGAGGATCAGGCGGCCGGCAGAGGCTGAGGCGGGGGTGGAATAGCGCGCAATGACGACATCTAATTATTCCTTGGCGTTTGCGAGAGTGGTAAAGCGGGGATGCTCAGACAGGGGGAGAACATAACTAATGGCAAGCTGAGCAGCGGCTCGCGCGAATCCCATACAACGCAGGCAAGTTCAGCAGCGATAAAAGCCTCATGCTCAGCAGACGTGGGGGCGTCAGGAAGGGTAGCAGGCGGGGCAGGGCGAGGGAGCTTACCATCGACATGGACGGTGTCACAGGATCGAATGTGTCGAGGAAAGGTTGCACTATCGATCAGTACAAGGCGATTTTATACTTCCAGAGTACATCAGGTAACCAGGTTTATCTTATCCTAGGGGAATAGACCCTTCTAGAAGATAGAATCACCCTGCGTATAGCCACGCGAGGCTATTGGCTTTAAGGGATTACAGCAGGATTACGCTAGATAGAGCGCACCAGTACATCCCAAGCCTGGTCGGTGATATAATTATAATAGCAGGATAAACCAAAGGTTAATGGAAAAGGAAGAATAGGAAACCAAATGAGATGGAATAAAAGAGAAAGGAAAAAGGAAGGAAATAAGAAAAGGCCAAGTGGTATAACGAGGTCGTACTCTCACACTTCCCCCCCTCAAAGCTGGGTGGTAGAAGTAACACCCTGCTTGACAAGGTAGTCATGCAGAGGACGACGGGCGTTACCCATGTCGGACTCAGGTACCCAGCTGTCCTCAGAAGGATCATAACCCTTCCAACGGATGAGAAGCTCCACGGTGCCATTCCGACGACGTCGGTGTGAGAGCACGGACTCGACCTCGTACTCGGGTTCATTCTGGACGAGGACGGGCAGTGGCGGCGGCGGTTGGCGTCCAACGAAAATCGTGTTCGGGTCCCGATAGGGCTTCAGAAGTTGGACGTGGAAGGCGTTGTGAATCTTCCAGGTAGCTGGCAGGCGTAAGCGGAAGGTAACAGGAGTGACCTGTGCTTCAACGAGAAAAGGCCCGCAGAAGCGAGGTCGAAGTTTAGATGGGAGATGGCTGATGTCCAGGTTGCGGGTGTCAAGAAGCACCTGGTCTCCCACCGTGATGGTGTGATCGTTGCGATGGCGATCGGCTTGGCGCTTCTGTTGCTGTTGAATGTCGAGGAGGCGCTTGTGGGTCCGATCCCAAAGCTGATGCATGGTTGTGATGAAATCATGTGCGGGTTGGACTGTAGCTGATGCTGTCGGTTTTTGTGGTGTGCGTGGGTGGCGTCCGTAGCGGAGGAAGAACGGCGTCTGTCCAGTAGCGGCATGTGTAGCATTGTTGTAAGCAAACTCTAGTACGGGCAGGTGCAAGTCCCATTTGGAGATCTCGTCCTTGCAGGCTGCTCGGAGGAGTTGCTCAACAATTTGGTTGAGGCGCTCGGTCTGTCCGTCTGTTTGCGGATGGTAAGCGGATGACATGGCGAGTTTGGTCCCGAGGAGAGACATAAGTTCCTTCCAGAACTTACTGGTGAACTTAGGGTCTCAGTCGGAGATGAGTGTGGTTGGAATGCCATGCTGTGAGATGATGTATCGAACGAAGAGTTGTGCTGTTTCTTCGGTGCGTGCTGTCGTGTGTGTCGGGATGAAGTGTCCCATTTTGGAGAACTTGTCAATGACGACAAGGATGGCGTCATGACCGCTGGAGGTAGGTGGTAACCCGGTGATGAAGTCCAAGCTAACCACTTGCCATGGTTGTTCTGGGACAGGAAGAGGCTGCAGTAGTCCCGCCTTCTTCTGCTTGCTGCTCTTCATCCGCTGACATGTATCACACGAGGTGACGAATTTCTGAACATCCTCTGCCAAGTGGGGCCAGTAGTAGTGTTTTGCGATACCGGTCAGCGTCTTGTTGCTACCGAAGTGTCCGGCGTAGAGGACGTCGTGGTATTCTTCAAGTAGTAACTGGCGCAAAGGAGGGTAATTGGGTACCCAGATTTTTGTGGATCCTTTCCGGTACGCGATGTCACTGTCCCACTGTAACAGATGTCGCTTTTCTGCCAAGGGAATTTCGGGGTCGGTGGCGTACCCGTGTGTGAAGAGTCCCTTGAGTAGTGGATTCATCCCTTCGACCTGAATAGCGGCAACGTGTGCAGGCCGGCTGAGAGCGTCTGCTTTGTTCTTGTGACCGGGCTTGTACACGATGTCGTAGTGGAAGTGTGTCTCGAGGAAGTCGATCCACCGGACCTGCCGCCTGGAAAGGTTGGGTTGTGTCTTCAAGTATTTCAGGCTGCAGTGGTCAGTGTAGACGGTTGTTCTTCGTCCTTCGAGATAGCATCTCCACGCTTTGAAGGCGATGATGATGGCCAGGGCCTCTTTGTCGTGTATCGGGTAGTTTAGTTCTGCCCCGTACAGTTTCTTACTGAGGTAAGCAACTGGTTGCAGTCCATTCCCTTGATCTTGCATCAAGACTGCTCCCACTGCTTGGTCATTGGCGTCAGCTTCGATGACGTAGTCGCGTTCGGAATCTGGCAAAATGAGTACCGGTGCGGACGTAAGTGCTTGCTTCAGCTGCTCCACGGCTTCCTGGTGCATCGGCTCCCAGTTGTAGGGCGTGTTCTTCTTCAGCAGATTCGTGAGTGGTGCTGCGATTTTCGCATACTGTGGCACGAACCTGTTGTAGTAATTAGCGAAGCCTAGGAACTGCTGCAACTCCTTCACGTTCTCGGGTGTCTTCCACGTGCGTACGGCCTCGATTTTCTTGGGGTCGACGTGAACTCCTTGAGCGCTCACCATGTGTCCTAGGAACTGGACCTTTTCAAGGGCGAATTCGCTCTTGGACAGTTTGACGTAGAATCGTTCTCGTCGAAGAATTTCGAAGACGCGTCGCAGGTGTTCGACGTGCTGCTTCATGTCGCGCGAGTAGATGAGTATGTCGTCCAGGTACACCACCACGCACTCGTCCAAAAGTGGTCGTAGAATGTGGTTCATTTCGGCTTGGAACGTTGCCGGTGCGTTGGTGAGTCCGAATGGCATTACCAAATACTCGTACGATCCGTACCGAGTTCGGAAAGCAGTTTTGTGGATAGAGTTGTCCGCCATGCGTATTTGCCAGTATCCGGACCGCAGATCCAGTTTGGAAAATACCGTAGCTCCCCGAAGCTGGTCAAGCAGGTCATCGATTCGCGGTATTGGATATTTATTCTTGATGGTCTGCTTGTTAAGAGCTCGGTAGTCGATGCACATGCGCAGGCTTCCGTCCGGTTTCGGTGTGAAGGGTACCGGGGCACCGTACGGCGAAGTGGATGGTCGGATGAGTCCTTTGGCTAGGAGATACTCGATTTGTTTTTTCATGTCGGTCAGCTCCGTAGGGCTGAGCCGATATGGTGCTCGGAAGGTCAGCTTCGAACCCGGTTCCTCCACGATCTCGTGTTGATGCGTTCGGTATGGCGGTAGCTCATTCGGAAGATCGTCCGGAAGAATATCTTGGAACTCCTTCAATAATTCCTTGATCTTTTCTGGAGTTTCCGAGGCTTTCTCTCCGTCATTCTCCACCTCTGTTGCTATCGCCAAGAACCCGGTGTCGGTTTGCTTTACGTCCTTCTCGAATCGTGCGAGTGTCTCCACTGGGATATCTCCTGTATCGTCCCAGTTGGGTAGCTGTACTCTCCGTCCATTGTTGTAGATGCTTGCGGTGCGGTTCACCCAGTTGATTTCTAGGTTGAATTTTTTTAGGAAGTCTCGCCCGAAGATCAAGTCAAGCCCCTTGATGTTGGTGATGGGGAGTGCAGGTCTCCAGCGCAGTGGTCCAATTTGTAGGTGTAGCACTGCTTCGCCGTGTACTGGTAGCTTGCTGCCGTCCATCATCGTTGCAGAGAATCCTGAAGGCTTGTACTCTTCCCGAAGTCGGTCGATCACTGCCTTGTCGCAAATGGTGTGTGATGCTCCGCTGTCCACGAGTGCTTGGAGGCGTCGTCCTTTGCAGATGACCTCGAGCACGAGGGGCAGTCGTTGCTCGGAGTACCCAAAGATAGTTTCATTGATTGGGTCATAGGGTACGTCCCAGTATTCCGTACACACCTTTGTGTTGCTATCTACTCCTGAGCTGGCAGCTGGCCGAGGCTGCTCTTCTCCAGGGCCCAGAGTTCCCCTGACGACTGTGCGCGTCACTGATGCCGAAGAACTGGATGCATCCGTAGGAGGAGTTCGGGGTTTGTGCAGCTTCTTGTAGACCCCCAGCTTCCTCTTGAGCTGCTTCAGCTCCACCGACGTCTTCCCTGGGGAACGGGTAGTCGTTGTGGGCTGGTGTCGGGAGAGGACGTTGACTCCGTGGAAAGGTCGGCTTCTTTCCACACTCCTTAATTTTTTCCCCAAGTTGTCCGGTACCGGTATGATCTCCACAGCTGTCTGCTTCTTTTGGAGTCCCTCCCAAAATTTCTCCAAGGCTCTAGCTCCTCGAAAATCATAAGTTTTCATTAAAGCATCTTTATAAGATAACTTTAATGAATTCTTATAATTTCTTGGGTCTTCAAGGAGTTTCCCCGTCTCGGCAGAGTCTTTTTTCGCGGAGTCGTATTTTTCCTCAGCGATTTTCCCTGGCGAAGACTGGTTGTGGGGTGGAGATTTTCCCCCATCATTTCCTCCTTCTCGCGTCGAATCAGCTTCGTCGAAGTTGATTTTTCCGGAATCCCGCGGCCGCTTTCGGATCTTTTTATTTTCGCCAGCTAGATCCGCAATCACTGGCGACTCCCGTTTTTTGGCTTCTGATTGGCTGAAGGAATTCCGCCACTGTTGCGTGCTCGATACTCTGCGCGTGCGGCTTTCATTTTGCTGCAGTCGAAGATTCGATGACCCGGCACCCCGCAAATTCACACGTGTAGTTGGTGTTTTTCGGACGTGGCCGCCCCTCGAATCTGTCGATCTCCATCGGGTCGGCGAACGTGGGTTGAGCCGAGCGGTCGCCCTGTCGCGTATTGCCGACGTGCGTCCGTCGTGTTCCGGCGTTGACCATGTCGAAGCGCTCCGCTGCCGAAACGACGTCACTGTAGCTCGCGTAGTTTGACGCTGCGACTTGTAGTTTGACTTCGGTCTTCAGCCCGGCGAGGTACGATTGTACTTTTTCCCCTTCGGTCAGGTCGGGAATGCGGTTATAAAATTCCTCCATCTGATGCGTGTACTGCGCTACACTCCCGAACTGTCGGTGTCGATGATTTTTTTCCCGGGCAAGGAAACTGGAATTTATCGGCTCGAAGCGTTTCAGCAGGTCAGCGCGAAACTGCTGCCACGTGGCTTCACCGTGGATGAAAGTACTGTTGCCGCCAATCCACTCGAGTGCCGGCCCTCGCATCAGTGTCGCCGCGAGTCGTACACGTTGACCGTCCCAGACTAGCGAGCTCCATCCGACGGCTGCGAAATAGATCTCCATCCCGGCGATCCATCTGCGGGCGTCGGAGTTTCGATCGCTCGGATCGAACGGCTCAGGTGGGCGCGGTTTTGGAGCCTCGAGAAACTGCTGCGACTGCTGCGTCGTCGCCGTTGTCGTCTCGTGCTGCGCTCTGGCGAGTCAAGTTACTCGCTCGAACTCGTTTCGCCACGCTTCGCGATCCGCTCGCATTTCCTCCTGAAGGGCTGCGATGCGCGCGAAGAGCTGCTGGGTAACCTCGGTGTTGTCGAAGGTTGCCATCCTGTTCAAAACACGCACGGAGGGGGTAATTCGAAAATCGCGGAGCTGGTGCTTACCAGAATCGGCGTCGAATTGTTCGCCCCCGGCGGTTTTTCGAGGCAGGATCCCCGCTGCTGCTGCTTAGCTGAGCGCGGTCGAGTGAGAAAAGCTCTGATTACCAAGTGTCACAGGATCGAATGTGTCGAGGAAAGGTTGCACTATCGATCAGTACAAGGCGCTTTTATACTTCCAGAGTACATCAGGTAACCAGGTTTATCTTATCCTAGGGGAATAGACCCTTCTAGAAGATAGAATCACCCTGCGTATAGCCACGCGAGGCTATTGGCTTTAAGGGATTACAGCAGGATTACGCTAGATAGAGCGCACCAGTACATCCCAAGCCTGGTCGATGATATAATTATAATAGCAGGATAAACCAAAGGTTAATGGAAAAGGAAGAATAGGAAACCAAATGAGATGGAATAAAAGAGAAAGGAAAAAGGAAGGAAATAAGAAAAGGCCAAGTGGTGTAACGAGGTCGTACTCTCACAGACGGCTTGGGAGTGGCCGTCCTAGCGCTGTCCGATCAGTTGGCGGCGGAGGTCGACGAGCCACCCCTCAAACTCAACGGCTCGACCCTCTGCGTCCAGGTGGAGCAGAGAGTCTGCCATCACCACAACCGCAGCAGCTGACTGCCGCTGACAAGGGGAGGAGGGAAAGCGGAGGAGGGTGGCGGAGAGCGGTGGAGTGCGGTGGAGTGCGGTGGGGAGTGGTTAATTGCGGTGAAGTGCGGTGGAGAGCGGTGGAGTGCAGTGGAGGCTGCCGGCGGGAGCGCAAGCTCAGAGGGGGAGCCAAGGCCGGCTGTAGGAAGGGCTGGGGCGGGCTGGGACCGGCGGAGCTGCAGCTGGCGGAGCAGTGGCCGACGGTGCTGGGGTCGGCGGGAGCGCAGGGCTGGGGCAACGGGGCAGGCAGGCGCAGGGCCAGCACGCACAGGGCTAGCGGGCTCTGGTTCAGCACGCGTGGGGCTGGCAGGTGCGGGGCTAGGAGGTGCAGGGGACGGCAGGCACAGGGGCCGGCAAGCGCGGGGTGCCCGTGAGCACAGGGTCGACGGTGGGCGGCTGGTGAACGCGGGGCCAGCGGGCACGCGGCTGTCGAAATTGGGGCCAGCGGGTGCGAGGCCAACAGGCGCGGGGCTAGCGGGTGCAGGGCTGGCGAGTGTGGGGCCGACGGGCACGGGGCTGGCGGGTGTGGGTTTGGCAAACGCGGGGCCGATGGGCACGGGGCTGGCGCAAGCGGGGCCAGCGGGTGCGGGGCCAGCAGGCGCGGAGCCAGCGGGCGCAGGGTCGGCGAGTGCAGGGCCGACTGGCGCTGGGCTGGCGGGCGCGGGACCGGAAAATGCGGGGCCAGCAGGCTCGGGGTAGGCGGGCGCGGGGCTAGCAGGCACGGGGCTGGCGAGCACAGGGCCAGCAGGGACGGGGCTGGTGATCGCGGGGCCGGCGGGCGCTAGGCGACGGGCGGCTATGGGCAGCTAGGTACGGGCAGCTAGCGGCGGGCGACTAGCTATGGGCAACTAGGTCTAGGGCTAGGGCGGAAGCGCGGGTGGGCGGGGAGGACCTAGCCTAGCGTGATACCATATCAAAGTAGCGAATAGTCTAGAATGTGAGATACACGGTGGTTTTGTGCCAGGGGGTAGTACTCTCTAAGACTACGCACGTATCTAGCCGATAGTAACATACAAATTTATGTTTGACACCTTTCCCGTGAAGCTGCAGCACTGGCTGCATACAGTTATTTATAGAAAGCCCACAAGATCTTTTAGATGAGAACGAGGGATTCATTGATACTAAACTAAATAGTACCCACACTTTTTTACCTATGTGATGGTACCTATTTGCTAATCTACAAGGGCTTGTAGGCCCTGCTAATAATAGTGACTGCTCGTTATACTACATGGCACTTTTTTTTTCGGTACATGAACATTAAATTCACTCCTAAGAGGTGCATTTGCTATAACTTTGTAGTATGCTGAAGAACACCCGAAGCAGGGCCTCAGATATCATGATGTTTTATCCTGAATTCCTGATTTTCATGATGCCTGTTAGGTGCCAAACCTGACAAATCCGTTTAAGGTCATTTTTCACCCTGTAAATTTAGTTTTAAATCATAGTGCAACTCTGAGGATTCAGTAAAGTGTTCGTGTACCACCCCTGGGCTGTCAGTATGCCTTCGGGGATAACCCTGATTCCTCGAATCTTGAATGCACGTGCGCCACTAGGGTAGCCCTTGCCTTGAATTTTACATTTCAGCTAAGTCCTCAAAGTTAGCAACAATCTTCCGAAACCCCCCGCTTCTAAAAAAAATGGCGAAGTCCTGAAAGTTAGAGACAATCCTCAGAAATCCCCCCGCTGCTCTAAAATTTCAGCGAAGTCCTGAATGCTAGAGACAATCCTCCAAAAAGTCCCCACTAATATGGAATTTTTGCTAAGTCCTAAATGCTAGAGACAATCCTCCCCCCGCCCCACCCCCCACTCACTAAAACTTTTCGGCTAAGTTCTCCCTGCCAGAGACATACTTCTACAACTTCAATGCAGCCCTGAAATTCTGGCTTAGTCCTCATAGAATTCGTGATGCCCAGGTTACGTCGAATCAAAATCTCGTCTAGTACTGCAATTCGGGGATTATTCATCACGTTTGGCAGAATACTTCGTGGCTAACTTTTTATGAGTTTTTCCACGGTCACGATTACTAGAAACAAATTCAGATGATCCTGCACGTTGAATTGGAAACAGAGAACTTGCCATAGAGTGTGCCACAGGCGAGGAATGCGCCCTCACCATCCAGCCTAATCAAACGCCGTCATAACCGCTCGATGGAAATCCAACTGCAGTTTTTTCACGCAACTTTTCGTTTCTTGCCTTTGACTTCATCAGAGTTTTCAGGCGTTTTAAACTGAACGTCCATCCGGTCTCAGCAAAATTCTGTCTGACAGTCAGACGAAGAAAAGTTTCCTGGTCTGATTGCCTCGTGCGCTACAGTTGACGCAAACTCGGCCAGTCGCGGCTAAGTCCTCAACCCATCACAACGCGTGAAGCCAAGTGTGCTGCTGCTACTGTTTAGAATGACTTCTGAGATTTCAAGCGTTTCAGGATTTACCTTGAGGCCAAAGTATAGAGCTGGAGAACCACTCTTAGGAATCAGTATGAACATAAGCCCCCATTCCTGACTTCTACACGTCTTTTTTTTTTTCCCGCCCTGATTGGTCAGGATGCCTAAAGTCCTATCTGAGGCCCTGACCCGAAGTATTCAAGTCGCATACATTGAGAAAGCTTGCTTTCTTGTCCTTTGCAATAGGCATCGTTCTCATTTCAAGTGGCATGGTACAATAGTCGCTTACTAGCTTATAAGAATCTAAACATACACACATCATGATCCTAGTTGTGTGCTCCCGTTCAAGTGACCGGCTGTCCATTGGAGATGGGCGGTTGTCTAGAGGGGGGGGTGGGTGGGAAGGTTGACTGAGCCGTTTGAAAAATGAGAGACGTGGGTGGAGGTAAATGAGCTCCAACCCACGTATATGTAGTTGGAGAAGGGCGAGTAGCGCGCTTCGACGATGCCCAACGCTTCAGTACAATCAGCTTCGCTTTCACAATACACAATTTTTGAAAAACACTACGTGTGTTAAAAATTATAATATTGAGAAAGCTTGCTTTCTTGTCCTTTGCAATAGGCATCGTTCTCATTTCAAGTGGGGTCGTTGAGACATGTGCAGTGGGGGCTTGCGGTGGTGGAGAAGTGCCTCAGCGTATTGTGCAGAGGATGGTGCCGCCGCCGGGTCTTGCAGGCGTCGAGACGCGCCAACCAGATGATCGGTCGCGGGCGTGACGTACATCTCTTTCGCGGTTTCACTACGCCAACGGCCCAGGCATTTGAAGATCCTGTCAGGAACCCCAGAGTTGGCAGCAACTGTGGCCGCGCCTTTCCGAAAGGAGTGGGTGCCGAGGTGCTCTTCTCCCAGGCCGATTTTCGCGAAGGCTTCCTTGCACCAGTTGCGGATTGTGGTGTATGAGGGCGGTCTGGCTGTGCCGTGGCTCGGTAGGTGGGGTCCGAAGACCCGGATGAGCGGTCCCAAGGACTGGAGGCTGTATCCTGCGAGTTGGATGAGCCTCTGGGTGCCCTGGACCGGACAAAAGGGTTCGGGGCTTGCCGCGATAGGGATCCAGGTGCCTTGGCCGGCTTGGTCGGTTTTTGAGTGGGGGATGAGTAGCCACATCGCTTCATCTTTAAATTGGATGTCCTGCCATTGGATGGCCACCAGGTCCGAGTAGCGCAAGAAACCGGCGTACATGAGAATCGGGATCAGTCCTTTTTGGAACACAGCCGGGTTAGTTGACTGTAGGAAGGAGGCTGCCATATCGTGGACCTGATGGAGTGAGACTGGCTCTTTAATCCTGTTAGGGCGCGGGCAGTGTCGCTTCGCAAAGTCGCGCACTTGGGAGGTGAAAGGGCCGGTGGTTGGGCATGTTGAGCCTGTCATCCTGTGGGCAAAGCTCACGGCGGAGCATGTGAGCTGAACCACCGACAAGGAGGCCTTGCGTTGGATGACATACACAAGGTAGAGCGCGAGGGTCATGTCCGATGCTGGCAAGAACGTTAGGTTGACCTTCGTGCAGAAGGCGCGGAACTTCACCCAGTAAGGCTCGTATATTCGGATGGTTGAGTCGGCACGAGAGCGGGCGAGCATGGAAAGCAGGTCATGTTGGAGCTTTGGAAGCAGATCTGGGGACAGGCGAGGGAGTCTAGTTTGTCAAATATCACGCGGAGTGCGACGATAGTGCTGTTGGGTAATCTTGTGCCTGAGAATGCTTGACTATGTGTGCCGACTGTAAGACACTGGCTGCCGTGTGTAAGAGGGATATGTGCTTGGATGTGTGGGTCCCACGATGGAGGGGAGGGCTGGAGGAGCGGCCACCAGCTTGCGCCAGGCCAGTGTGGGACTATGAGGGTGAGAGATGCGCTCGTGCGTTGTGCGTGATGGAGTACTGCGGGGATGAGTTGGGGCGGTGGGAATGCAAAGCTGTTCTCAGCCGTCCAGGCAAGTGAGAAGGCGTCGGCTGCTGTAGCATCGGGGTGGGGGACCTTAGAGCAGAAACGTGACAGGTGTGCATTTTGGGGGTTGGCGAATAGGTCAATGGAGTGGGGCCCCAAGCGACGCTCGAGGAGGCGAAACCATGGGAGCTTCAACGAGTAGTCATCGTGGTCGACTAGCTTGGAGAGCTCGTCTGCGCGACCATTCAGATCGCGTGGGATCCATTCGATGATTAGCCGAATCTCGAACTCCATGCATTTTTGGATGATGCCTTTGCACATGGTGGTGAGGTCGGGACTTCGGGAACCTCCTTTGCGAAGGATAAAGAACACGCCCTGGTTGTCCACCCGCACTAGCACGTGTTTCTTCCGGATTCTAGGCGCGTACGTCTGTAGCGCCCACAGCATGCCGGCGAGCTCTCTTTGTGTGCTGGAGGTTGGATGAAGGGCTCCGGGCATTGCCGCGCTGGCCTCTATCACGGCTCCAGGGAATGTGTCCAGCGTGGCACCCCAGCTGTGGGCACTTGCGTCTACGTGGATGACTGCATCGTAGCTGTGCCGCACATGGAACGGGGCACCGTTGAAACGGTCGAACTCTTGGATCCAGAATCTCAGCTCTTCGATGGCGGGTGGGGAGAGGATGACCATGCTGGTCCATGTCGGCGCGTCGTTGATTGTTTCTAGCATGGCGTGGCTGAACGCTCGGGTGGTGGTGCCAAGTGCGACAGCCATCGATGCCAGCATGCCTGTAACTCGGGCCAGTTGCCGGACTGGGACTTTCCACTGACTGAGCTTGCGCGCAGTAGGGCATGGAGGGTGGCGTTGAGTGTGGCTCGCCGCTCCTCGCCGATGGAGAACCGGCCGGCCTGTGTGTCAAGTTCTACGCCAAGGAACCGAAGGTGCTGTGTTGGTATCAGCTTTGACTTTTTTGAGTTGAGTACGAGCCCGGCAGCCTTGAGATCGATAACGATCCGTTGGCACGTGGCTTGAGCGTGTGCCTGGGTCGAGCACAGGAAGAGGATATCGTCCACGTAGGGTATCACGCGGACCCCCTGCTCCCGCCATCGCCGAGCTAATTGCTTGATGAGCTGCGTGAAGACGAATGGTGATGTGGCGAGGCCGAACGGCAAGGATCGGAAGGCGTATGTGCGCCCGTCGAATTCAAAGCCGAGGAACGTCCAGCACGAGGGGTGGATGTCGACATGGTGGTAGCCTGATTTCAAGTCGATGGAGAACATCCAATCTCCTTGGCGGGCGAGGTCCGCTACGCGGTTGAGTCCCTCATATTTAAATTTGGGGACGATTATTGCGTCGTTCACCTTTCGGAGATCCAGAATCATGCGACACTTGTCTTTCTGCTCGACCACGTTGAGTGGGCTTATGCATCTCAGTTTCGCCGCAGGAATTTGGATGGCCGCGCCGGTCTCGGTGAGTTCAAGGATGGCCGTGCGCGTGAATGCTTCGTGGATGCGTGCGCCGGCATGGTTGCGATCGTGAAAGGCCGGCGGCGGCCCGAGTTTCCATGGCATCCAGTATCCTTTGGCAATGACTGAGAGGATGAAACTGCTAGTGCACCACGAGCTCCACCAAGCGAACGTGGTACGTAGGCGGCCACGCATTTTGGTGACCATCTTGTCAGTAACCGCGTATTCGTAGGGGTCACTGTTGTGTGCACATTCGCGAAGTCTGGTGCCTGTGGGAGTGCCATCATGCAAGGAGAAGCAAGGGACGAATACTTGAGTTCATCTGCAGGGCTGATGCCTACTGGAAACCTAGAGCGTGGGGGGGGGGGGGGGAGTGTGAAGCCTAGTGGCTGAGGAGGGCGTGCCGGGTTGAGGTGCCACATGCGAGCAAGATGCTTAGGTCGGTGGGTGCCTGCGCTTTGAGCGGGTCTGAGCGGCGTGACTTGCGTGTGTGTCGGTTTGCACGCCTACGCATGCCGAGCTTGCGTTCGAACCTGAGCCCCGACGTTTGCTTCCCTTGGTGCCCTCGTATTCCCACAACTTGTGCCTTCACCCGCGCTTCTACTCGCAAACGCATGTTACCCTCTTATTGCCGCCTTCGCTTGCGCTATCATTTCTTGGGTTTTGAGACTCAACGCCCGTGTTTTTTTTTTTTTTTTTTTTTGTCTTTCTTCTAGCCACCTCTTGTGTGCTTGTGTGGCATGCGTGCGGTGTTTTGTTGCTGTTCCCATTCGTGGGCCATACCGCGTGCGTGCGCGCATGCTTATGTGACTCGTTTTTTTTTTTTTTTTTTTTTTTTTTCCAATGCCAAGCTGGGCAGCCCTAGATGAGGCTGGTGTGGCTGTTCCTGTATGCCCACGGAGGGGTAATGCTTAGGGTCCAGGGTGTAGCACACCGGGTTGGAGGGTAGGCGCCTTGTAAAGGCTCGCATAATGCTTGAATTCTGTTTTTTTTTTTTTTTTTTTTTTGCATGTCCAATCGAGGAGCAACTCTGTGTGGGTAAGTGGCGGGCCATTGGTGTTCCTGATGGCCTTCCTTCTCCGGCCGGGGGTGCTGCGTGACATGCAGCGGGGGTTGAGCCACCCACTATGCTTCCCCGTTCCGTGCTCAATCCCCCCCCCCCCCTCTTTTTTTTTTTTTTTTTTTTTTTTTTTTGCTGCGCCTCTTATGGTGCTGCTCCCCCTTTTCTCTGGTTATATTAGGGGACCAAGACCTGAAAAAAAAATGAAGGACCGCGGCTCCTTATTTTAACCAAGCTTTATCTCTACTCAACATGCTCCTAGGCATGCAAAGTCCGCCTTGCAAGGTCGGGCTATCATTTGGGACCGAGGGGGCATGTTCCCCTTCCCTTGCTCTGATCCTAGGGCCTTTGATTGGCCTACACTAGGGCTGGCCCTCTGCCACCCGTGCCCCTAAGGGGTGGGCCCAATGGCCTACGCACACACCGGGTGTCTTGCGCCTTGCGCCACTTGCGCAAGCGCCCATGGCCCGACCCCTACACCACTGGTGCGGGTCCTTGGCCACCATGCCCAATCGCCGGGCAGCCGCTGGCCACATGCCCCGGCTGGCCACAGCGGAAGCAAGTGCCGCGGAAGCCACGGAATTCTCCCGTAGGCGGCGGACCACGCTTTGGCACGAACGGCATGGGCATGCGGCCGCCTCCGCGATTTCCACGAGCAAATCCGCCCTCGGCGCGGTCCATTGCGGCCACGTCAGCGACGGCCTGCTTGAAAGGCCTTGAGGTAAGCAAACTCTTCTGCTGGTACAGCTTGAAACGCTTGGCCGTGCGGAAGTCAGAGGCGTCTTCGACTTGGAGAACTTCGAAGCGTCGTGATATGAGGGCGAGCGCGTCGGCGAGGAATTCGAGGCCGCCCGGCGCGTCGCCGTGCTGCACCTTGAACTCGGCGTGCTTCAGGTATGCCCGAAGGTCCTCCAGGACTTCCGCTTGCTCGCGTACGGCCGCGTTGAGGAAAGACGCCGCCGAGAGGGTGGTGTGAGTGGTCGGGAGTGGTGGGAGATGCTCCATGGGAATTGAATTTGCAGCAGTGCCGGGGACCTCACCAGCGTCATTGTCGGAGTCGTCGCTGTCGTTGTCGGCCGCCAGGGCAGGCGGGATGCTGGCGATGGCGTCCTTAGCGAGGCGTGGCGTCTTGGTTCCGCGTGTGGCCTTTTCTGTGTTTGCAGGTTCTTTTTTAGCAGATTCAGAAGCAGCAGGTTGAGCAGTTTCGGCGGCCGTAACACTCGTCGCCTGCTGCTGTAACAGCGTCAACAGCGCGTTGACCTGCGTAGGGGTCAACGACGGGGTCAATGTCGGGGTGGGCGGCACGTCAGACGAGGCAGCCGCGCGCCCCCTTTTGCGCTGGCGAGAGGGACCCGCCACTTGCGGGGCTGGCGCGTGCTGCTGCTCGGCGTCAGGCGCGAGTGGCTGGCTCTGCCCAGCCACTTGCGCGTGTGGCTCAGAAGGGGGCGGGGGCGCGTCAGCAAGCTGACTGTTGACCTCGCCCCCTCCCAGCAGAACGTCAACCCCAGTTGGGGCGGTTGCCCCTTCTTCTGCCCGACGCTTGTTGCGCCGGTCGCCCGCAATTTCCGGGGCTTGGCAAGTAGACTCGGAATTGGGGTGGCCGGTGACGACGTTGGACTCGCCGCGATTATTCGTAGTCGTAGCCATGACGGATCGGTGAAACTTAAAAATGTCGGAGAGAAGAGTTGAGGGAGACTCGCCGCGAGGCAAAGTTCTAGTCTTAGCCAGCTTGAACGGGAGAAAAGCTAGAGCGGCAAGGTTGACTGAGCCGTTTGAAAAATGAGAGACGTGGGTGGAGGTAAATGAGCTCCAACCCACGTATATGTAGTTGGAGAAGGGCGAGTAGCGCGTTTCGACGATGCCCAACGCTTCAGTACAATCAGCTTCGCTTTCACAATACACAATTTTTGAAAAACACTACGTGTGTTAAAAATTATAATTTCAACAAGGAACAGATTGAGAAAACAATAAGAAAAAATGCATTAGGCGAGGTTAAAATTTGAAGTCAATTAATTATTTTAAAAATGAGGTTTTCTCTGGTAATGATACTACCTCTAGGAAGGCCACTATTACACGTATTTCGACCTATGTAAGAAATGCTACTCGTTGAGGTGTAGCTGCCAGATTGTTCTTGTATGGATAAAAGACCCCAGGGATTATCTCATCTCGTATTTCCCGCCCAGGTTCAAAAATTGCGCCTTGGCGAAGTGTGGCAGGGTGATTCGGTGGTTGTCAGGGCTCCAGGTTCCCGCCAAGCGACACGGAACCATCCTGCTCGGTAGCGAGTGCCTGAGCTGGCTGGCATGGCATCCACATCTGCTGACCCATTCTGTTCCATTCTGTCATGCAAGTGAGCAGATTCACCCACACTACCCACCACAACCACAAGCACGTCACTTCGCTATCTAGGGTCTGCCTTCAACTCTCGAACTCTCCGCAGATTCTTAACTTCCGGCATATCGCGTCAATGGCGCTAGCAGCTTCGTGTTTGAGTTGAACAATATCTGCTTTGCGTTTCTTCCAGACCTTATCAACCTAGCTTCTCGTTGCTGAGATCGTTGCTGGCGCCCTTTAGCTAGTTCTCGTTAGCGGATTTTTAACCATTGCTAGACGTGGTGGAACATGGCGCAGCTACACTTGGATAAGGAAAACCAAGTCTCGGTAGCTTCAGCAAAGGTCGAAGTGAGATGTGGAGGTTTGGGTCCTGTGATTGGCGGAGCAGAGCCCGCAGCCTCATGCAACTCACTGTCTGCTTCTCGCACATCGTTGCCATATAGATTTCCAGGGTCCAAGGATAGAAGAGATCCGCCACCCTGGGAGGCAACACTATTGGAGCACGTCAGAAGCATTCTACGAGAGCAGCGAGCACTTCCTGACAGTAAACCGCTTCGCCAACGGAATGAGCTATTGTTGAACATTCGCAAATCGCCAGAGTCTCCAACCGCTTGGCTGGAGTTCCTTCTGAACGAGGAACGAATAGAGAGGTTTAGACAGGACGCGCGAGGAGCGGGGGATGGTGAGGGATCCGTAGAAGTTCTCAAAGTGCTGTTTAGTCTTTTCCTTCTCGCCAGAGGCTTGATCCCAGTGGCAACTTATCGCCACCACCATGCGTTTGTTCGGATATGGCTGGAGATCGCGAGAAGGTAAGCTGAAAGTTTCAGGCCTCCCCTTGTTTCCTACGCGCACCAGTTCCATGCCTGTATTTCGTAAGCTGATGTTGTACGCCGTGTTGATCGTTTGCAGGCAATTAACGGATGAGGAGGAACATGAGACTTACAAGCACATGAAACATCACCGCATCGGAGAGCGGACTGCAAAGCGCTACATTCAACACGCCCGCTTCGAATTACGTAGAGGTAAGCGCTGCTGCTACGTAGTCTCTTGAAAAATAGTCGAAATGTCCTTTTGTCACTCTAAGAATTCCTCCTTCAAACTCCCCTATGGCTCCCTACTCCCACGCGTGGTGCAGGCAACCTGACCAGGGCGATGGCGTTACTTATTCGGGGAAAGGCGTACAAAGCAGAGCCCGCGCAGGACATTCAGATGTGGACGGCTGAGCTAGGGAAGCTGGATGCAAGCATCCCTCTTCCGTGCCATCCACGGCGGGAAATCGGTGTGGATGAGTACACGTGGTGGGCGTCGCTGAAGCTGCCGGCTCTAGGCCTGACGCCGCCGCAAGGGCCAGAGGCGGTGCAGCTATCTGTGTCGACACCGTCGTCTTCTCGCACCGTCACCTCCTCCACCGGCACCTCTGCGCGCCCCCCATACCCCTGGACCCACGCCGCTCACATCTCCCCAGCAGCCACGCCCGCCACCAGCCCCACCAGGTCGTCATGGCGTGCGCTGGCTCCCGGCAGCCCGCGGCGAGCTGGGTGGCGCGGGTCAGCCCAGCGCACCCCCTTGGAGCCGCTGGCCGCTGCCTCAGTCAACGCGCACGCTGCGACCGCTACTGCTCCCGCTCCTCAGGCTGCCACTCCTTCCGCTGAGCCTGCCGCCGTTCCCACGGGTAGCTCGTCGGGTCCTTCTCGAGCAAGGGACGGCGACGCGGTGAGCCATGGCGGGTGTCGCCTTGCGACGCCCCAGTCCAAGGCCAAGGATGAGACGCCCCTGGGGCGCCTCCATGGTGGAGCGACTGCAGCGGCGGGGAGTGACGCGCACATGCAGGCTGGGAGGGCGGAGTCAAACACTGTGCCGTGTGCGATCCCCTCGCCGCTGGCAGGACAAGCCATGTGCGCGTACCGCGCGCTCATGAAGCAACGCGCACGGCAAGCGGAGCAAGCCGCGACTCCCACGGGCACAGGGGTGGCGGAGACGGAGGATCGCGCACGTGGGGAAGTGAAGCCCGCGTATCCGGTGGGAGGCATGGCGGAGGGGCGACGGGGCAGCGCGGGGAAGAGAGAAGGTGCGTGGGGGGTTGGATCAAGTTGACATGTTGTTTGGCGTGCTCACATTTGAATCACTTTCCTTGCTCTTCTCCTCCCATCCCTTGCGCAGCAGCCCCTCCGACCATGCCGAGGGTCCCTCCCAAGCGGGCGAGGCATCACGACGACACCGAAACCACTGTGCACTCGCCTCTTTCCAACCCCGTACCTGCCTCCGCCTGCGCACTCCCCTCCGCCTCCTCGCCTCCACACTCGGTAACGCCAGTGGCATGGAACAGAGAAGAGCGCGCGGTGGGGGGGAGTGCGCGGAACGAGGGTGAGGATGAGGAGATGGCGGACGCCATGGACGAGGGCTCCACGCCCCCCGCCCCGCAGCATCGCGGCAGGGCGGAGCGAAGCGACGGCGGTGGTGCGCGGCACGGCGCGGCCAGGCAGCAGGACGAGAGGGGGGAGGGTGGGCGGAGGGATGGGGAGGAGCGGGAGGTGCCGGGGGAGCGTGTGAGTGGGAACAGCGTGGACGTGGACGTGGGCGCAGCGGAGAGGGGGGATGCGAAGCGGTGGGCGGACAATGAGCACGCCAGTGGTGGAGGTGGTGTGGCAGCGGGTGGCGCAGGGCGTGCAGGGCATGGCGGAGCCGATGGAGCAGAGGGAGCGCGGGCGGGCAGCGGTGTTGAAGGGGGCGATGTGGTGAGGGAGGAGGAGGGGGCGGTGTACATGAAGGGGCAGTGGTACAGGAAGGTGAAGGCGGTGGGCAAGGGCGGCAGCTCGGTGGTGTTCAAGGTGGTGGCGCGCGACGGACAGGAGTACGCGGTGAAGCGCATCCGCGCGGAGGGCAGCAACATGAGCGAGTTCAAGCAGGAGATCTCCATCCTCACGCGGCTCAGGGGCAAGAAGAGCATCATCTACCTCTACGACTCCGCGGTGAGACGGAGAGGGGGGAGAGCGATGACAGACGGCATGGGCTGTGTGTTGGATGAAGTACGAAAGGGATATTGGCCACGTGTGGTGCTGCCTCGCAATGCTCCTCTCTGCCCCCCCCCTGCAAATTTCCGTGCACAGAATTCCAGTGGCGTTGCTGTGCTCGCACGTTGCTCTCCCCCCACTCTCATGAACCTCTCCGCCTGGCCGCGGCGTGTGCGGGTGCGCGCAGGTGTGCGAGCGCGAGCAGGTGATCTACCTGCTGCTAGAGTTCGGCGAGATAGACCTGGCGAAGAAGCTCGAGAAGCTGCACAAGGAGGCGGACGACCTACACGCCGCCACGCCGCTCCACGCCACTGGCTGCAAGATAGAGGAAGCCGTGCTGCGCCACTTCTGGCTCGTACGTCACACGCACTCCTGGTTTTCGCTGCCAATGCATGGCTCGGATGCATGCGAGATTTGGTGCTCCAGCGCCATTGCGGATTGAAATGTCACCTTATTCTGGTCAGATTGTCCCCATTGATTGTGTGACACGTGCATGTCGGTCATGGGTCGTGTGTGTATGTGTTTGTGTCTGTTGAGTGCGTGTACGTCCATGTGTGTTTGTGTGGGTGCGTGTGTGAGTGAGTGTGTGCGTGCGGTGCAGGGCATGTTGAAGGCGGTGCACACGATTCACGAGGCACGCATAGTGCACGCGGACCTGAAGCCAGCCAACTTCCTCATCATCGAGGGCGACCTCAAGCTCATCGACTTCGGCATCGCCAGGGACATCCCCAACAACACCACCAACATCTCACGCGACGGATGTGTGAGTGCCCGCCTCCCACCCCATGCCTCCCACCTGCTCCGTCTCCCCTTGCTCGTCCCCCTCCCCTCTCTCCCTCCCGACCAGCATCCTGTGCACGGCATGCAGCCCTGCAGGACTGTCTCCTTTCTTGATCCTGCTCTCACTGCTCGCTCTTGAGCAGCATCACCGCCTCACCTGTCGCTTTCGCACCATGCTGTGCTCTGTGGTGCTGTGCTGTGGCAGGCGGGCACGGTGAACTACATGTCGCCCGAGGCCCTCATGGCGCAGGAGCCAGAGGTGGGCGGAGGCGGCACGGCATCCAAAATCAAGATGGGGCGCCCAGCAGACATCTGGTCGCTGGGCTGCATGCTCTACCTCATGGTGTACGGCCGCACACCCTTCCAACACATTCCGGGCTGGAGCAAGATAAAGGTAACACCACACGCATGTCAACTGAGCCCACATGCCATGTGCTGCCAGACGCATATGTCTGCTGCAGGCTGGGGGCTGCCATTGCGCCTCAATCCCACGCACAACTGACCTTTGCCATCTTCTATTGTGCGTGAGTCCCGTGCACATTGCTGATGCTGCCTCCCTGCCACCCTCCTGCCCTGCGCTGTGCGTGTGTGGTGTGTGCCCCACTGCAGCACATCTGTGAGGAGTCGTGCCCCATTGACTTCCCCCCTGTGGCCAACCCCCACCTCCTGGACATCATGAAGCGCTGCCTTGTGCGCAACCCCTCTCACCGCATCACCCTCCCCCAACTCCTCGCCCACCCCTACGTCTGCGCCTCCACCCTCCACGCCCCTCCTGCTCCCTCCCTACCTCAACTGCCGCCTCCTGATGCCGCTGCTGCTGCTGCCGCTATAACCGCCGCCGCCGCTGCTGCTGCTGCTGCTGCCGCTTCTGTCAACAGCAATCTGCAGCAGGCTCAGGGGATCCAGGAGGGCAGTGTGAACAGCGGTGGTGCTAGTGCAGGGGCAGGCAACAGTGAGAAGCTGTTGCAGGTGAGCTGTGACGCATGCACACGCCACTAGTGATGCTGCCGTGTGTTGAACAGCAACATTCATCCCGCCACTCGTGACGACCACTCGTTTCTAGACTTTGCAGCAATGCATCAGACATGCTTTTGTCCTTGCTGCTTCTGCACCCTGGCCATCCCTTGCCGTGGTGCGCAGGACATACTAGCACAAGTGGCCAGGGCTGCAGGAGCGAACCCAGCAGCCATTGGGCTGGCGACGCAGGAGATACTGAAGCAGCTCGCATCGGGCAAGGTGAGCTCACGCACAAGCCAACGCCCACGCGCATGCAGTGGCCCAGGGCACAGCGTATCAAGCAGTGTCAAAAGAGCCGTGCAACCCATTCTTGCTCCACCTTCCTCTGTTTCTCCAGTCCGCCGTCCACTACTTCCCAAGCTGTTTAATCACGCGTGCCCCTCCCGTTTTCCTTCCCCCGTTCCTCCTTGCATGTGTGCCTGCCTGCATCAGTCGGAGGGCCTTGACATCCAGGAGATTTTCCGTGCAGCCGGTGCATTCGCCCCTCCTCTACCACCCCCCCCGGCCCCTGCAGCCAAGGCTCCGCCCCCTCCCCCTCCACCACCCAAGAAGGCACCCCCTCCCCCTCCGCCCCCTCCTGGCAAGCCGGGGGGCAAAGCGGCGCCGCTGCTGATCAAGAAGGGTGTCAAGCCCAGGGCTGGAGGGCCTGCCGGGCCTGCTCCGGGCGACCTGGCAGCCGCAGCCGCTGCTGCTGCCCGCAGGAGGGCAGAGGGCGGGGCGGTGAGGATGAGGCCCCTTGCAGAGAAAAAGGGCGGCGACGGACCCCTCTTCCCCACTCTGCGATCAGGACTGAGGAGGCCCGGCGGGGGTGCAGGGGGGGCGGGCATGGGTGCTATGAGTGCAGACCAGTTTGAGGCAGAACTCCTGAAGCAGCACACTCGCTTGAGGCCTGTGAAGAGAAGCAGTGATGCTGCCGTGTCCAAGGCAGCGGAGGGCAAGGACGAAGCGGACAAGAGGAGAAGCTCTGTGCCTTGGGAGGGACTGCTGAAGAAGGGGCTGGAGAAGCGGAAGAAGGCAAACAAAGACGACGACGACACGACAGTGTGGGAGTGACGCAAGGTCAAGCACGAGGGACAGTTCCAACCAATGACTTTCTAATCAGATCACTTTTTGCATACTGGTTTTGATGAGCAATGGCACCTAGGGAACCTTGCAGGCGTTGCGTGCATGCAGTGACTAGAGGTGCAGGCAGGTGACAATCTTTCTAGTACTTGAAGGCATAAATAGGTTTGAAACACCAACACAACGATGTACCGTAGATTGATGAGAGAACAAAGTCGCAAAATGATTAGGGGGAGAAACACTTGCAGAGCTATGCATAGGCCCAATCTTGATCGAGGGAGCTGGCTGGTTGAGAAATAAATCGCTTCAAACATAGGGGGAAAACCCTGGGTTTCATGAGATCCAAGATCCCCAGCATCTTCCTCACTACACCTCCTATCATAGCCCGGTGAAATTTCCAACGAGTCCACCAATCGCAGAAGCTCTTGCTGTTAGGATTACAAGAACAAACAAGGGATACAAGAGAGCTATATAGTTGGGAGTTGTACTCTCTAAGAGCACATACCCATCTAGCCTATAACTATCAAAGTTAACGAATAACTAGAAAAGGTGGGATACAATGGAATATTAAGCCTGTCGTTATCAGGGTATTTTACCCTGATTCCCTGATTTCACAGGGTATTTTTCGGCCAACCCTTAATTTTCAGGGTTGGACTTTTCTTAACACTAGCCCCTTCAGGATTGTACCGGTCAGGCCCTCAGATATCAGGGCAAAACACCCTGAAAGCCTGATTTTCAGGGTGTGGTCTGTTTTGAGCCCTGAGATTTTAGGGTATTCATTTTGTTTGGCCTGAAATTTCAGGATGTGTGTTCTATTGGGCCCTGTTATTTCAGAGTGTTCTGATCCGCCTAGCCCTGAGGCCTCAGGGTATTACCGGGGACAGCCCTGACCTGATACATGCCCCCTGTACTGACGGGACGATACTAGGCTTATCCCCAGCAGGCCTCTGGATAGGATTAGAAGTACTCTTTCTTGTAAGGGTACTCGCTTGCTGCCACTTTTTCTGTAAGGGTATATTTAAAAGCTACTTTGTAATATAAGGGTCCTAAATATTTGTACTTTTTCACATAAGGGTATAACTCCAGCGCAGCCTTACACTTTACTGTAGGTACAGGATCTCGCGTGATCAGACGACTGACGTGTTGCAGATTTGTGACGACGTGCCTTGGGTGGCACTCGACAGGGTGCACCAAGATTTTTGTTTTTGTTTGTTAGCGCTGAAGTGGGGGGAATGTCGCACCTCGGTAATTTTGCTGTTAGTGCGTATTTCTACATTAGTGCTTTCAGTACCAGAGAACCAAACTTCGCGAAGTACCAAATCGAACCGAACAGGAATTCGCGTTTTGACCCTCGGACCTCACCGTTTCGCGTTTCAGAGTCCATTCCGGGTTTGCTGGTAGTGATTACTGTCTTGTAGAAATACGACCTCATTCCCTAGACCCTTCCTGGTCGCGACCTCATTTCCCGTTGGTGCCGCACTCGTTTTTTGTTTTTTTTTTTTGTTTTTTTTTTTGTTTTTTGTTTTTTTTTTGTTCTTTCATTTCTTTAGCTAATGTAGTGGCCGATACGACTCTACCAACACGAATTATACATTCAAGTCGGCAAGTTTTGTAACCGTGCGCATGAATTCTTGGGTGAGTGGCAGCAAAAAAAACGTAAACCATTAGCAGAAGAAATTGACGACTTGAATCCCCGTCGTGCGCGGGCAGGGGCCAGGTAAAAACCCGTGGAAACTTCAATTCAAGTCGCCGAGATTCCCTCGCCGAAGTGGGTAGGGGGGAAGAGAAAATTTGACATATCACGTCCAGGGCTTTGTTTTCGTTTCAGGCTACCCTGTAATTTCAAAGTAGTTATTCCCCCGAGTCTGACTGGAACACACTTGGAACTGGGGGACTTAGCCGAATCCTCCGGGTTGCGAAGGTACTACAGCGGCTTTGTCTCTGCGAGTGGGGGACTTCACCAATTTTTCGGGGTCGCTCGAGGGCTGTGGGAGGAATGCCTTAGGCAGTGGGGGACTTAGCCGAAATCTTGGGTTGCGGGGGGTATAGGAGGAATGACTCTCGGATTGGGGGGACTTAGCCGAAATCTACAGGTTGCCAAGGGGATAAAATATTTCAGGGGGGGATCGCATGTGTGATTGTGTAAGGGTGATTTTACACAACACTTTTCCGCATCAGGGTCCCTACACTCGACCACTTTGAAAAAACAGGGTCCCGTATAGATCTAGTTTTTTTCATAAGGGTCAAAAACTAAACCACTTTTAAAAATAAGGGTCCAACAGCTACCCCACCCTTATTATAAGGGCCGTAAGGGTATTTTACCCTGATATCCTGAGGCCTGATCCCCAGATTCCCGTCAAAGATGCCCGCGAATTGCATCTGTCCCATCGGCAGCATCACCGCCTAGTCTAGCAGCACCGGTTCCAGCAGCACCAGTTCCAGCAGCGTCAGTTCCAGCAGCGTCAGTTCCAGCAGCGCCAGTTCCAGCAGCGCCAGTTCCAGCAGCGCCAGTTCCAGCAGCGCCATTCCCTGCCACGCCGATTCCAGCAGCACCAGTTCCAGCAGCAAGTGTGGCATCGTTGGCGCATAGTGCCACCCGCATGGGTCCCAGCACGTCCAAGCAGGTACTCGGTGCCAGGTGCTAGATAAGGAGAGGAGGATGGTGAGCCAGAGAATGATGATGACAGTAGCTGTGGGTTTAGCTCTGATGACGAAGGAAAATTTTAATCTGATGTATCTGAACTGTAATGGACGATGTGGTATTCTGCCATACCGTGTGTGTTTCATGACAATTGTGGTGTTGTTGGTTGGATTGGAACATAAAAGCTGCTCTCTGAAAACTACCCTGACACCTCAGGGTATTGTGTTGACGTTGCCCTGTGTAAACAGGGTGTGCATAGTGCTCAAACCCTGAGAGGTTCACGCTTTTCAGAGGGTGAACCCTGAGGGCTCAGGGTGCCTAAATTTGAATCTGAGGGCCTGGTACCGGTAAGATTCTGAACACTTGGGATTTCAGGGATTGCGTTCTGCCAATACTGAGTTTTCAGGGAGCAACGCATACGAACCCTGAGTGCGACATCCATGTGCCTCACAGCCCTGAAATTTTGGCGATGTCCCCAATCTTTAGAAACATTACCCCCACACACACAGCAACCTACAAAAATTGGCCAAGTCCTAATTGAACAAACATTCCCCCTACACACCCCACAATAATCAACAAATATCGGCTAAGTCCTATGGTAGACATTCCCCCTACACCCGCAACAACCCACAAATAGTCGGCTAAGTCCTAGTAGCCAGAGTAGCACTATCCTCAACAAAAAAAATGTCCAAGTCCTCGTGTATCGATCCCCCCCTCACCTCCGTTTTGATCCTCGTGCCCCCTCGGTTTCGCTTCCCCGCTCCGTTTAGCCAAACTGTTGTTTTCTAACAGCATTGGTTCATTTCGTAATCTCCCCCAGGCCCCCAGTTCCCAAAAAAAAATCCACCAAACTTTGACGGTCACGATCGAACGCGATCGTTTCGACGTTTCTCAGCTGTTCATCGTTGGTCAGTCATTAACGGCTCAGATTTGCGTGACCTGAGCTGGTTTTTTTGCTAGCTCAGACGATTTGGGCCCATCTGGAAAAACCCCTGTAAAACCAGAGACGAGCCCAACATAACCCCGGCTTCCAGCAAGTCTTGATAGGCAGTGACAAAAAAAAAAAAAAAATCGGCTTAGTCCTATTGTACACAAGTATCAAACCTAGAATTTTAATGATGAAAGAGAGAGAGTACACAAACATATACCTAAATGTTGTACTCTCTAGAAGGTGACCCTATACAGTCTAAACAAACATGATAACTACACATGTTTGACACACCCCCTGGACTGCATAGGGGAATGTTCTAGACAAGCAGCTCAGGGTGGCACTACTAGTCCAGCCTCTGAGACAAGGGTCTAAAAGACCAGTCAGAAGGAGTACAGACAAGGCAAGAACGAGTACAGGGCGGCACTACTAGTCCAACCACTGTGAGAGGACACAAGTCCAGTCTGAGTGTATACATATATATATAGACGACAGTACAAAGTCAAGGCCCGAGTAAGTGAGAGACTACAGGAACCAGACCAAGCTGTAAACAGTGCCGCTGATGATCTTTAGGCGCAAGCGCCTTCGTAAAGATATCAGCTGTGTTGGCACCGGAGGCCAAGTGTACTACGCGAGCCTGGCGCCGCTGCTGTAGCTCGCGCAGGAGGAAGTACCGCAGCTGGATGTGCTTCGCTCTGCCCTCGAGTCGAGGCTCCTGACACAGGAGAATCATGGCCCTATTGTCAGCGTACAGGACCGGGGCAGAGCTAGGCCGCTCACCTAAGTCAGTGAGCAAGAAGGTCAGCCAGCGGAGCTCCTGTGCCGCCATGGCACCGGCGTAGATCTCAGCCTCACAGCTGGACTGGGCAACCGACGAGGAGCGGGTAGCTCTCCACGAGACAGCACCTGAGCCAAGGCTAAAGCAGTAGCCCTGGGAAGACCTGAGCGTCTCGGCGTCGTCTGCCCAAGAAGCGTCTGTGTGTCCAGTAAGGACCACTGGCCTGCGTCCGCCTAGCACTAACCCCATGCCCGATGTACTTGCAAGATAACGCAAAACCCTCTTAGCGGCAGACCAGTGCTGAGGTCGGTGTCTGCCTGTGGCCACAAAACGAGCCAGGATGCTGAGAGGGTATGCGAGATCTGGGCGAGTGCAAGTCATCAGGTACATGAGGCAACCCACTAGCTCAGCGTAAGGACCACTGGGATCTACCGACTCCTCAGGAACTGGAGCGGAGAGTCTGTGGTCCAGAGGAAGAGGGGTGGGCTGTGCGGAGGAGAACTGAAGGCCGAACCTCTGAAGGACCTGGCGCACCAAGTGTGACTGAGTCAGGGTGATGGTGCGCGCGGCTCTGTCCCTGGAGATCTGCATGCCAAGGTAATGGCGCAGCTCTCCAAGGTCAGTGCAGGTGTGTCTCTTCAGCAGCTCTGCCTTCACGGAGGCCAGTGCGTCCCTGTCAGCTGTGGCAAAGACCAGGTCGTCTACGTAGACGAGGATGTAGAACGGAGTCGAGCCAGCACGAACGAAGAGCGAGGGGTCTGCAGAGGACGGAAAGAACTGCAGGTCAGCAAGAGTAGCACGCAGCGTGTCGTGCCACTCACGAGGCGCC